GAGGGGTTAAGCATAGTGGAAAACTCTTGCTTTCCCTACTTCAACGCTGAGTAAGATGGGTTCGAAAGGTATTCCGCCAAGATGACCCTTCCCCGTTCCCCTCGTGACTTGGTGCCGCGTCCCACCGAATAAAAGGTGCTGTTGGATGGCCCACACCATGAACAAAGAACATAGGGAAGGATTCACCACACCCCCATGATAAAGGCAAATTCTGCTACGGTGATGATAAGGCGTTCCGCTACTGCCGTGAGTGGTGTGAAAAGGAAATCCATGGGAAATGCAGAAAAGAAAAAAAAAGCAGAACAAGAACATTTTCCCCCATAAGAACATTTCGCCTCATGGGTATTTTTGGTTTGTTGGCACCCCACCCCGTATCCAACAATGTGTGAGGTATGTTTGGCTTCCCTGAGGGATGGATGCGCGCAAGTTCGGCGCCATTGCCAAAGTCGCGCCGTGATTCACTTCAGGGGTCCACGGCACCTGCCCCAAGATGGTGGCAAAAAAAAAGTTGAGGAGGGTACGGCGCCCCGGGTTCCAGCGCCAGCACTCACCACCGTACTGAATGGCCCTGTGGCCGCTTGACTTCACAAATCGGACGGGATATGGCGCATTCGGCCTGGCATGGTTGTACCCGAAATACCCGCAAAAGAACATATTATGCTCCCGGGGGGGTCTCCGGGGTGCCCTTCCCAGCCCCACCCCCCAGGGGTGAATTTTTCAGTTTTGCGAGTGCCGTGCGTTTCCCGCCCCTGTGGCTCTACTGGGCCTCGTTACGGTTGTATTGGGGCACATTTTCGCACACAAGCTAACCCTTGTAGGTGTTGGGTTGTTCCGGTGTTTTGGGTTGTGCCGGCCTGGTGGCGTCGCCGCCGCCGTCTGTCACAACTTTGGCCGGGTGGGGTGGCGCCGGGGTGGGGTGGCAGTTTTCTGGTCGAAGCAGGCGGCCTCCACAATAGCTGCGCCTCTGCTATTTTGTTGTTCTATTGGTTTTTATCCTTTGCGAAGCGCTTGGCTTTGGCACCGCGTCGGGGTGACCGGCGTTGCCTTGTCGAGAGAAGCCGGGGGCCAGCGACGTTTTCCTTTCGGAAGACCCGTTGGCCCTTAGGCTACGGTGTTATAAAGTACCGGGGCCAGCCGCGTCGTCCTGGGCAGAAATTCATCCAAGAATGTACTGGGACACCGGTCGACGTGCTATCAGCAGTATCACCCGCACCAGGTTGCTGCTGAGTGGTGGTGATGTAGAGGAAAATCCCGGCCCCTCACTGCGTGGAATGCAGTGGAACCCAGATGGGCTCACCCAGGCCAAGAGGCTTGCTCTCCACAAAACCTTTCTTGAGGAGAATGTGACATTCTGCCTTCTAAGCGAGAAGAAATTATCTTGTGCGGAAGTGTCGAGTTTCACAATCGCCGGTTACCAACATCATGGAGTGTCCCACCCCTCTCAGGGAGGCGGTGTTTTGATTTAGCGCCCTTTGCTCTAGAGAAAGCAACGGAACCTGCCACCTGCACTGAATGAGGGGGAAAATACTCATGCAGGAACGCCGCTGCACATCATATGGTCAACAAACATGGGCTCAAGAGAGCCGATGCGCTCTGGAAGATCAAATTCCCCCATGAGCCACCCCCGCCGGAAATCCCGCCAGAACCTCCGCCACCTTCACAACCCCCACCTCCGGCCACAACGTTACCCCATCCCAATTCGCCTAAAGCAAAACTTCATCCGTTTGCCTGCAGTATGGGTAAACGAACATTTCCGCTTCAAAATGGATTAACGCGCCGCCTTAGATACATGCACAATGTCACATGCCCTGTCCCAGAGAGAAAACGCCCGCGAGCCGACGAACCGATACCAGAGGAATCAGCATTTCCCTGTGACAAATGTGATATGGTAGCGCGCTCAAAAACAGGTCTCAAAGCCCATATTAGAGCAAAACATCCTGAGAACCCCAAAAAAGGACGCACCTCGCACCCAGCGGCGACCTCCCACAGCCTGCTTCACTATGCTGCGAATTTTGTCTACACGATTTTGGCAACATTGGAGCTCTCGCATGCCACAAAAAGTTTAAACATCCACCTGGAACTCCAATTCTGCCAGCAACAATACAAGTAACTTTTCCGCGCAATAAGAAACGCCAACGAGATACGTCGCCAACACCGGAGCGTGAGGACAGAGAAAAAGTCCAATGCGGAGTCTGCCAGAAGTTATACGCACACCTAGCCTCCCTCTTCTTCCACTGCAGAAAATTCCAAGATGGACAGGGAATGTCAACAAGAGCGAATTCCACCAATGCAAGATACAAAACAAAGAAAACACGAGACCTTCCGGCATTAGTCTGTCCCCCATGCGGTTGTCAATGTATGGGTAAATCAGGCCTAACTCTACACCGAATGTCACGTCACGGGTATCAACCTATTCGCGCGCACACCAGCCAACGTAACGAATGCGAAGAAACAGCTCTGCACCTCTTGAGTTGCCCCACTCTTCACCCACTGCGAGTTCAATTTGCGATAGTTGATGATATACCCCTGATGAAACTATGTTTTTCTAAGCGGTTAGCAAAATTCTTTATTGCGGTGGAGCGGAACTACACTATGTCACAGTTTTCACAACCAAGAGAAACCCTACGCAGCCCACCTCCCCCTCTGTAAGGCCTCCCCACCTCTCTAAAATTAGCGACGAGCTCGAATATGGAAACCTTGATAGAAGAGTACGCTCAAGGCGTCTGTCGCCGACCCAACAAGCAACAAAATAAATAGGAGTTCATTGAGGGCAATTTATCATAAAAAAAACCCAAAAATAACCAAAAATAATAACAAAAGGAGACTTGAGGATGGGTTCTGGGTAAGAAGAGTGAGAGTAGAGAGATCTGGTAGAGTTTACTCGATCAGATCTCTCTTAGACTGATTCTCTTGTTTGGGAACGGGCTACAACAAAAATCATATTACAAGAGCTTGAGGATCCTATAAAATGAAGGGATCTTTTTCCTCTTCGGAGCCACTCCTAAGTCGGTAATTAAAGTGCTCTACGGTGTACGGTTGATAGCCGTACCATTGGAGTAATATCCATAAAAAACACGAAGAACACAAAGAAAGAAAAATGTGATGGTGTGGTCCCTCTTGGGTGAGGTGTGGGGGGGGTCCTTTTTGGGTGGGGGAGGAAGGGGATATGTTTGATATTACCCTCCTAATTCAAACCATAGAGTAAAGGATGTGTGTGGTCGCTGGGGTATAAGTGTTTTTTTTTTTTTTGCTGATAATGCTGTGGGAGAAGAAGAGGTGAACTGGCATTCTGAGGGAAAAATAAAATAATAGTAATAAGAATAAATAAAGAGGTAATATGTGTGTGAGAGAGTAATTGTGTGTTGATTCTGTTTGTAAAGAGTGGCATGGTATTACAGTGATGTATGCAGTCATTTTTGTTGTGGTTGTGGGTGAGTGGGTTTTAGATTCCAATTGTGGTGTTGGTATAAATATTATGGTGATGCGTTGGTTGGTTTCTTTATTTCTGTTTGCAAGTGTGTTGATTATTGTACAGTCTCTTTGTTTTGCTGATGATTTGTGGTATTGTTTTTGTATGTTGCCGGGCGTACACACTGTGTTTTTGGTGTATTTTGGTGTTCGAGCTGCTTGGTAATGGTTTTATTATAATGAGAATACAGACACACTTTGTGTGTATGAATACCGAGTAAGATATTGGAGTGTGTGTAGAGACGTTTATTCAATATTGTTTTGATACCATTTGTTTTCCACTTCTTCTAAATTCAAGCTGTTGTTTCAATATCTGTGTAACTCTGGGTGTGTTTTATTGTGTGAGTGGTTTACTGTTGTTCCCCTCATTGGGTTGTATTGTTTGATTGCTGTTGTGATGTATACTCTCTCTGTCTTTCTGTGTTGCTGTGTACCCACTGCCTTGTGTGTTAAATGTGCATCTCTTTTCTCCTTTTCCTCTTCTTCCTTGTTACCATAGATCCAAGCAACTCACTGTGACAATCATGGCAACGATGTTCATCCAACTGCGCCGTCTGGTGTACCTATTGGTACTCTTGCACTGTTGTGTGTGTGTGGTCCGTGCGGATGGTGAGGATACCAAAGAGGAAAGGTATAGGGAAAAGGTCTGGCATTTGCGTAATACGACGATAAGGGCATATGCACGTCTTGTGGAGGGAAGGGGTTGTCTCAATGCGTGGAGGGAGATGGTAAGGACATCAAACGAAAGTTACAAACGCGCGCATTCCGCCGCGAAACTTACCGAAGAGATCGCTGCGAAAGTCAAGGTGATGAAAGAGAAGCTGGAAGCGAGTGCAAGTACGTTCACCGGTTGGGAGGATGTCGGTAGCTTGTTGGACGAGGTCAAAGAGACAACGAGCGATGTCGAAGAGAGGATTAAGGAGGCTGAAAGGAAGGCACTCAGCATCAAAAGAGCGGGGGATTTCTGCAAAGTCGAATATGACAATGCGGTTAATGTCATGGATGAGCTCTACAAAGCTCAGTACATGTATGAAGAACTATTTGAACCCGGAAGAAAACCGAAATCGGAGTGGACGAAGGACGATAGGCTCGTTGAAAACAGCACCGATACGCACGGGCAAATAAAGAAGTTTATTGCGGAGTTCGATTTGTTCCGTGGAGAGGCACAGGTTTCGAAGGTAAATGCCTTGATTCAGGTGAAAGAAGCGAAAGATTCAATCGAAAAGACGGCCAAGAGGTTCAAAGAGCTTAAAGAAGAAATCGAAAAGAGTTCGAGGGATGGGGATGAAAAGCTAAAAAGCTCTCGAGTGAAAGATAAAGTAACGGAAATGGCGGAAGCAGTGGCCAAAGCGGGGAAAATCGAGGAGCCAAAGAAAAAGGAACTGTTAAGCGCCGCTGTTTATAACGTGACACTGATGGAAGAGAGGGAAAAGGCCGTCCGGCTTGTTGCCGATGAGGTGGTGGGGATCCATAGGGAGAAGGCGGAAAGGGCGAGGAGAGCTGCTGAGGAGGCGCAAAGGGAGAGGGAACGGGCCCAAAGGGAGGAAGAAGAACGGGAGAGAAGGGTTGCTGAGGAGGCGCAAAGGGAGAAGGAACGGGTCCAAAAAGAGAGAGAAGAAAGGGAAAGAAAAGTTGCTGAGGAGGCGCAGAGGGAGAGGGAGCGGGCGCGAAAGGTAGCTGAGGAGGAAGCGCTGAGGGAGAGGGAACGGGCGAGGAAGGTTGCTGAGGATGAGGCGCAAAAGGAGAGTGAAAGACGGATGGTGGAGGGCAAAAAAAAAAAAGACAACAGTGTCGGTCCTGCATTGGTGCATGGTCCTTTACTGTTGCTTCTTGTTTTGATGTGTGTGTTGGGTTACACTCTCGTGTGCTGATCGGTTTTCCCATGACACAGTTGCAGAGTCAACCCTTATTTGAGTGGATACTGATGCATTGTAAGGGCACTGTTCTTTTTATTGGATTTTACTGTGTTTTTTTTTTTTTTTTTTTTTTTTTTTTCAGTTCGATAAATCTCTTGTTTGCATTTTTTGCTGAACATATCTATTGGACTCCCTATGGCACTAAACGCATGACAAACCATCATTTTGTGAGGGGAGTGTCCTCTTTGTTTGATGGCATTATTATCTGGGCTCTGCTTTGCCGCCATTTACTGTGTCCTCCTGGTGATGTGTGTGTGTTCCGTGATGTTAATAACTATTGCTTTTACCCATGGGAGTGAGATACAACCCCGATGTGTTTCAATTGCTGTGACTGCAATGTGAAGAATGGCAGGAGGTTCAAGACACACGAACACGCACACTACCGACCCTCCTTCTCTTTGTGTGTGTGTGTGTGGACTGTCATCATGTGTGCATCATTCCCACTGCTCGCCATGTACGAAAGGCACACACACCTACTGCTGGGAATTGTGTTCTTGCCTCCTGAACATATTCACATGGTGATCACGGCTTTTTCTTGTCTTCATTCTTTTGTTTTTCCCTTGTGTTTTTTCATTATAATTACATTGCACGTTATGTGCAGCTGTGTGTTTCTCTTTTGCGTTTCCGATACACCTTGTGTATCTTGTGTGTTCGTTTTTATGGAATGATTTCTTTTTTTTCATTATATACAAACTGCTGCACGGACATCAAGAATAAAGATATGGACACGACACGTTCAGTACACAATGATTTTCCGTTGTTCACCTTGGAGTGGATTGGACTGTGTCCAGGCATCGCAGCCACAGTAAGTAATGAATTTCTTTTTTTCCTTTTACACCTTTGCTCTATTATTGTGTCTGCCTCACGCAGTCACTCCTTTTTTTTCTACATTTTCATTTTGGTAAAACGATTGGTGGGTTGTAGGTGTTTGAGTCTTTTTCTGTGTGTGTTCAGCTTGCTACTCGCACCGCCCACGTAATGAAAACACATTTCTTTGTTCTCACTTTCTCTCTTGGTGGTGTCACTCACGGCATTGCCACGAATATATTTGTACCCTTGTGGTGTTTGTTGTTTGTTGTGTGACTTGCTTGAGTGACTGCAGCCTGCGGGGAGATGGACTGAGACTGATCCGCTATGGCTTCACGTAATGGGTATGTCTTTTTCTTTCTTTTTGGGTGTGTTGATTTGATGTGCTGGTATGGGTGGATGTTTTTCTCTGATGAGAATGGCAGCTGTGATTATTGTATTGTGAGTGCTTTGTGTGCTATTGGTATCCTGTTGTTGTTCTTTCTCCTCTGCTCTTGTGTTTTCTTTTCCTCTCTGTAGGTGTGTGACTTAGTGTGCATTTTAGTGAATGCTGTAGTGCCTCTCAGATATGAGCATGTGAGACTGTCATTGTGTGTGTGTGTGCACTGTGAGTGGGAAGGACACCGTTGTGTTGCTGGACCACTCCACTGAGGCCTCTGTGGGGTTTGTGTGTAAGCGGCATGCTTCGCTTCGGCAGGGCTCGAGGGGCACTTTACGTCCCGAGGCGCTGAACCTTGAGGCCTGAAATATCACGTGCTCAGGGACTTTGAACTTGAGAGAAAAAGAAGAGTGGGGATGATGAAAAAAAGGGACGAGACCCGGCAACCAGTCTACGTTCGCAATGCTCGAGGCTCGTTGTCGGGTTTTGCCCTTTTCTTTTTTTTTTTATCCCTCACCCGAAGAAGGGAGAGGAGGAGATCACACAACCCCTACAACCCAAGGCGGGCGGCCAACTTGTCACAGCGTCTTGTGCGCAACAAGAAGAAGAGGGGTGGGGTGACTCCCGGGGGTGTTTCACTTATAAAATGAGTGGGGTTGGGGATAGTGGAAAACTCTTGCTTTCCCTACTTCAACGCTGAGTAAGATGGGTTTGAAAGGTATTCCGCAAAGATGACCCTTCCCCGTTCCCCTCGTGACATGGTGCCGCGTGCCACCGAGTAAAAAAAGGTGCTGTTGGATGGCCCACGCCGTGAACAAAAAGAACAAAGGGAAGGATTCACCACACCCTCATGGTAAAGGCAAATCCCGCTATGGTGATATGTTAAAGCGTTCCCCTACCGCCATGTGTGGTGTGAAAAGGAAACCCATGGGAAATTCAGATAAGGAAAAATAAGTACAAAAAAAACATTTCGCCCCATAGGTATTTTGGTTTGTTGGCGCCCCACCGCCTGCCCCACCACAACAATGTGTGAGGTATGTTTGGCTTTTCCCTGGGGGATGGAAGTGCGTAAGCTGGACGCCGCGATTGGACAGCCCTCATTGCCAAAGGTACGCCGTGATTCACTTCAGGGGTCCACGGCACCTACCCCAAGATGTTGGCAAAAAAAAAAAGTTGAGGAGGGTACGGCACCCCGGGTTCCAGCGCCATCACTGATCGCCGTACTAACGAGGCCTGTGGCCGCTTAACTTCACAAATCGGACGGGATAT